GAGCCGGGAGGCGGCGCCGGAGGCTTTGTCGGATGCCGGGGACCCCCAGTGGCAGCTGCACCTCGACCGGGCCTTGTGGTACCTGGGCCTGGCCCACCATTCCCACAGGTGGGGGCGGAGAGCCCCGCTTGCGAGGGGCAGAACTACGATCCCCACAATGCAACCGACTGGCGGTTCCGGGAGCCTCCGCCCGCGGGGCTCTTTGGGAAATGTAGTTTTTCTCTAAAGCGGCCAAGCGCGGGGGATGTGGAAAGAATAAATTCTGCCGGGGGCGCACCAGGAGCTTTGACTGTGCTTGGTTGGTGGTTTAGGCTACCCCATGGGGGCCACGGGGGGCCCTTCTGGAGCCTGGGAGGGTGGAAACCTCGGATGCCAGTCGCGTTTCACCACGTGCCCTCTTGGCCTAGTCCTCCCAAAGATGCCGGACATTCATCTGATTGGGATGTTCTTTCTATAATAATAATAATAATAATAATAATAATATGCCGCCCAACTCCCAGCAACTCAGGGCAGTTTACAAATTATTAAAAACCTGTAAAAAATAACAATACAAGAAACATGAAACAAAGATGTCAGAGAAAAGAAATCAGGATGGGAATAAGGAGTAGGAAGAAGAGAGGTGTCAGTCATCCTCGCTATAAAACTTACAAAGGTGTTGCAGGACCTTGAGCTCAAAGGGCATCTGCAACTTCCCATCTTGTTCAGTATACAAAAAATAGTGTTTTTCAACCTTGGCAACTTTAAGATATGTGGACTTCAATTCCCAGAATTCCCCACCCAGCATGTGCTCAGTATTCAGCATGATCATTTATCAGTAATTAGGCATTTTGTAGAGGGTAGCCCATGTTAAAACTGGGTTGTTTTAGCCAACTTACGAAGGGTGGCCACTGAAATAAGATTGCCTTTCCTTTTTGGACAATTTACTAGTTATTGGAATTATGGGTTAACTAGAAAAAGAGGGATAACATCATATAAAATGACAAGCCTGATCATTCCTATTCCAAGTAACAAATTTTATTAAAAGTCATAAGATTTTATGACCCATAGATCACTTCATCAGAGGCGTAGAGTGGCTAGCCCAGTGTTTCTCACACTTGGCAACTTTAAGATGTGTGGACTTCAACTCCCAGAATTCCCCGGCCACTGGCTAGACAGATGTGGGATATAGCCAATTTTGGCCAATTTCAATCTTCCATCAGTGTAGCCATTCTACACATCTCACAAAACTTGGTGCCTTTAATACAATTTGTTAGCCACCAGACCCCTCCTGATTTTTTTTTGCTACCAGCTCTCTTCCTACAGTGATGCATAATGATTCACCCATTTTATAATTACAGTGCACACATTATAAAACATAACTTATGATTAAAGCTTTAAAATAATTTGCAATGTAATGAGATTAATCATATGAAAAAATTGCAGTGTAATCGACTAAAATTATTACATCTTATTAAATGGGTAAACTGGAATTAAATTAAAGCATAGTCAGTGACTAAAGGCATTTTAATTCAGTAGTGAGTATGCTAAACATTTGAGTATAAAGAGGGAAAATATTACATCTACCACTCAGGATCGTTAGATGGTTTTCATGTTGAGATTAAAATTCTAAAAGAAGAGTGAAGAAAAGTGAAGAAAGAAAAGAGAACTTTTTTATTAACAAAAGAAATTCAAAGAGTAGAATGGCTTGCTTTTGCATCTCACAGAAATGGCTAAAGGTCTAGGGTTGGAAGAAATTCAACAGCATGTTCTTTTGTCATCCAGAAATATTCCCCTTTACTTTGTCTCAGCATTTTTATAAACATCAATATCCCTTGGTGAAATAGGTACAGTATTTCATGATCCGGCTGACCCCTGGATTTCTATGAATAATGTTAATTTTCATTCATCGTCACCTCTCCAGATCAAATCCTTACTAATTTCTTTAGTCTTCTGCTTCTTGCTTGATTTATTTTTTGTCAAAGCCAAATCACGTATTTGCCCACTCCAAGTATTCTTTTCTTGGTGCAAAGCAAAGTTTATGTGTTTTTCTAGGTCTGTCTCCCAGTTTTAGGTGGAGAAGTAAAAATTAAAATCATTCTACCATATACTAATGAACTAATAAAACAAAATATAAGTCTTTTGTTAATATATTGATGTTCATTGTTACATAAAGTAACCATAAGATTTATTGGTAACTCCATGATACATATATGAAGTTTCCTAGGAAGAAATACAGAAGTGTTTTGCTGATGCCTAACCCTGCTTTGCTGTTTGAGATTGGTCAGAGTCATTGATGCATAACAAAGCTGATGCCAACTTTCGTAGTTAAAAAAAACAGAACTAAAATTAAGTCGCACTTCCTTGCTTTTTCTCCTGGTAAAAGTAAATTGTCCTACATTACAACAATACTACATGAGAAAAGCAGCAACGTTGTAATAACTATACAAATTTAAATGTTTTCATCAATAGTAGGTGTTTAAAATATTTAGTTTCCAACCTCATTTTGTTCACAAGTTCACAACACCTCATTTTGAGTTTGAAATATCTCATTTTAGGTAGAGAATGGCTGTTTGGAGCGTTTTGGAAACATTCTTCCAAAATACTCAAAACAGCTGTTATGCACCTGAAACATCTCAAACACCCCAAACCCTTTAACGATGGACTTTTGAATTAGAAATGGATGAAGCTAAAACAGTTAGCGTAGCCCTAAGTAAGTTCTTCTTTAATTTTTTTTTTCTGTTACTTTTGTTCCGAATAAGTTCACTAGTTCAGCTAAGACCCAACGTGGGACACTCTTTAATTCAAGCTGTAGCTTCTCTAATACAGCACTTCTTGATCCAGCTGTAACTTGATCTTTAATCCTTGTTCTCCAGTAAACTAGATTCCTTAATCTTAGCATCCTTAAAGCATGCATTTGATCCAGGCCTTGGGCCTTCTTGCCGTTCCAAGTTCCTTACCGTCAGCAGCCCAACGTGACCAAAATCTTACCACCCCATCTGGTGAGGACCAAATGGTGCTTTAGCAATGCTGCTCCAATGGCCTTGAGACCATCCCTTTATATTGTTCATTTTCCCCCCTCTTCCATTAGGACAGCCTTTAACAACAATGTCCACTCAGCCTACGATTCTCTCAGTGCTGGTGGGAAGTGCAAGAAGCCCGGGGTCGATGGGAAGACCTACAGCGAGCTGCTGAGACTGTTGTGCCAAGACAGGGGCGCCTCTGAAGAGACCGTGCAGCCTCTGCTGCAGAAGGTCTCCTGCCGAGACCACGAAGCGGTGCCCTTTGACATCTTCCGCTATGGGGCCCTCACCTGTCTGATCCTTCTGGAGTTCCTGGCCAAGGCAGGCAGCCTCTACGATGCCCTTGATGGTGGCTCCGGAACCGCAGATAAAAGGGTCTGCGCAGCTGTCCTGGGCACTCTCGAAGAAGCCCTCCACATAGCCGATGTCTCTCCTCCCATCCGTTATTTGGAGGCTGGATCCAAGCTCAGGCCAGACTGCTTGGCTTTGGCGATGGACCAAGCGCTGGCAGAGAGGAAGGCCAGCGTGGCCATGAAGAAGGACGAGTTTCTCAAGAGGGCTTCATCCATCTTTATCGCCAAAGTGAAGCCGATTAACTGAGCCCCAGAGAGAAAGGTTTGGCTGTCTCTGCTTCCTGACTGGCAGTTAGCTTTATCAATGGAACGAGGGGCCAGTGTGTCAGTGGACACTGACTTGGTGTTTTCTGGGGGTGCAGGCAAGGGGGATCTCCAGAGGAGAAGAATCAGTTTGCTTTCCACTGTTGGGTATGCCAAAAGGCTGGACTGCCTCTTGTTATTTGTTTACTTATTTATTATTTGTTTATTATTATTTATCTACTTGTTTACTTACTTATTAGATTTCCTTCAGGAGCTCAAGGCAACAGACAGAGCACTCCCTCCTCCTATATTTCTCCACAGTCACAACCTTGTGAGGTCAGTTAGGCTGGGAGAGAGAGGCTGGCCCAGTCACCAGGGAGCTTCTGAAGACAAGGGTGTTTTTCCTCTGCAGGGGCTTGCCCCCCCCTTTAGGCCACCAAGTGCTTGGGCAAGTGTGGTCTGGAGGTGATTGAGCCTCCTGTGGGACAGGGTGGGTTCTGGGGCTGCTTGTGGGTGGGAGGAAGTACGATTGGGTCTGTGTGCCCAGGCCTGGGCGGAAGGGTTAGTAGTAGGTAGGGGGAACTGGGAGGCAGGCAGGAGCTTCTAGATGGTGATGGTCAGAGGCAGGTATTAAGGGAACCTGGGGGCGGCCTGCATTTGGGACATCAGGTCCACTGCCTGAAAGCATTCCTGTTGTTCGGCCCTTGGCTTCTACCCTCAACGCCTGGCTATCGCATCCTCTGTGACCCTGGGCTGCAGCTGCTGCTTTTCAGTGCCAAGCTGGTGTGTATTAAAGCTGCCCTCATTGATCATTCTATTATGGATAAGGGTGCCACCTGTCATGTCTAACCAAGATCTGTGTGGGCCCAGAGTGGGGGAGTGCCTCTCTCAGAATTATGCCCACCCGGGTTTTGGGTTTTGCACCATCCGAGACTCCAGGGGAGGGCGGCTGTCATCATTGCAGGCTCTTAGGCTCTGTTCCACAAAGAACTAGATGTGAGGTGCTCTGGTTTCTACGGAACCGTTGGGATTGTTGCTGGTGTACCACCCTCCCTACTACCCAGCTTCATCCCTACCTGTGCTGCTGGTTTCCATTGCTGGGCTGACAATAAAGTCCCCAAGGCCGCTGGTGCTTAGGGATTTTAATCTGCCACCTGGTGACGTTCAGCTAAGAGCAGTTCTAGAGTTTGTGGCCTCCATGGCAACCATGGCCCTGTCCCAAGTGATCACTGGTCCAAGGCGTACTGATAGCTGCCTCTTAGATCTTGTTTTTGTCTCAGGACAGTTGTGACATCAACTGGTAGTGGAGGACATTGACATCAGTCCATTGCCATCGACAGATCATTCTCTGATTGCCTTTTGGCTCACTAGTGTCACCTTCTCCTGCAGGAAAAAGAGGTCCTTGGGGCTCCGTCTTATAGTGTGAACTGGGAAGAGTTTGAGCCATTGACTCCTGAGGAAGTGTACAGGGTTCTATGTGCTGTTAGCTCAACTGCCTGTGTGCTGGATCCAGAGACCCCCCGGTGTTGAAAGCGGCCAGGGAGGTGACCTGTGATTGAGGCCTTGCTGTACTGTTGGCCACTTTGACAGAGGGGTAGTGCCTCTGGCTTGAAAGAGATGGTAGTATGCCCCTTCCTCAAGAGACCATCCTTAGACTCAGCACTATTAGATAACTACCACCCCATTTCCAACCTTTGAGAAGGTGGTTGCAGAGAATCCTGGAGGAAGCAGCTTATCTAGACCCATTTCAGTCAGGATTTAGTATGGAGACAGCTTTGGTGACCCTTGTAGATGACCTGTGACAAAGCTGAGATGGTGGTGGTACGTCCATCCTTGTGCTCCTTGATCTCTCGGCAGCTTTCAATACCATCAACCATGGTGTCCTTCCACACCGCCTCCAGAGGTTGCAAATTGTTTTATGATGATTCTCTTCCTTCCTTCAGGGCCAATGTTAGTGTTGATTGAGAGGCAGAGGTTGCTCCCACGGCCCTTCCTTCGTGGGATGCCACAGGGCTTGACACACACTCCCTTCCTATTTAACATCTACATGAAATTGCTGGGTTTGGAGTTCAGTAACATCAGTATGCTGATGATACCCAATTACATTTTTCGACACTGGGCTGGTCAAGTGAGGCTATCATGATTCTATTCCAGTGCCTGGAGGTTGTGCAGTCTTGGATGGGGAGGGACCATCTCCAACTCAATCTTACCAAGACCAAGTGGCTGTGGGTATTAGGGCCACTTAGATCCAGGGAAACCTTGAATGGGGTTGCACTTCCCTATTTGAGGGTGATGCACAATCTGGGAGTCTTCTTGGATTCACAGCTCCTGCTCAATGACCAAGTGGCCAGGAAGGCCTTTGAACAGTTTCATCTGGTATGCTGGTTGTGCCCTTTCCTGGATCAGGGGACTTTTCAGACAGTCACTCATGCCCTAGTCACCTCTTGGCTTGACTACTGCAATGCACTGCCCTTGAAGACCACCTGGAAGTTACAGCTGGTCCAGAATGCAGCAGCGCAGGCAGCAATTGGCATGCTTCGGTATGCCCATGTGACACCTCTGCTCCAGGTGGGATTTAAGGTGCTGGTTATAACTTAAAAAGTCCTAAATAGCATACAGACTAGTTATGTGAGGGACTGCCTATCTCTTGTGGTGTCTGCCTGGCCAATACAAGCTGACAGGGTTGGCACGTTCCAAGTTCCTTCTATCAAACAGTCTCAACTATCAGGACTCTGGAAGCTCTGCCCTCTAATTGCCCCTGAGATCTGTGTGGCATTCCAGGAAATGTGAAAGACCTGGCTGTTCTCCCAGGCCTTGAGCTAGACCGGAGCCCCTCTCTGGATGCGTATGTTTTTGTGTTATTGACCAACTTTGTCATCGTTTCCTTTTCTAGTTTGTTTTTTGCTCTGTACGATCTTGTTCCTATTTACATTGTTTTTTATTCTGTTCATTGTACTGGGAACTGCCCAGAATCATTCTGGAATCGGGCAGCATTAAATAAATCTGTATCACCTCCAGCTCCTAGTCCAGCATCTTCACCAACATCTACCCCATCCTGATTCTTGGGCTAAGAGGGAGGAACTGGCCCAATGGGTTTCTGTGGCTGAGGGTGGACTCGCATCCAAGTCTCACCACTCCTGGAAGGACACCTTTCCCACTACATCGGATTGGTTCTTGGGTTTAGAGGGAGGGACTGGCCCAAAGTCAGCCAATGAGCTTCTGTGCTTGAGGGGGGAATAGAACCTGGGTCTTTCCATTCCTAGTTTAGCCACTTAATAAAGTAGATTTTTTTTTTATAGCAAATGTCAAGTTGGTTTAAAAGATTATGGAGGCATTTGATTTGATTATTTTTACAGCCCACACTAAAAACCACTTCCTTTTCACTGAAAATGTCTAGACCAGGGTTTCTCAACCAAGGTTCCATGGAACCCGAGGGTTCTGTGAGAGGTCCCTAGGGGTTCTGGGAGATCATGATTTATTTTAAAAACCATTTCAAATGCAGGTAATGTGCTCTCGCAGTGGTGAGCAGAAACTGAACAAAAATCTAGTTACAACTCTTTCTGAGTTTCTGGTAGTGTGCTGTAGCACTGTGTTTATTTCGTTGAATTCATTCTTAATTTTCGATATGAGATAGGGGAGACTGTTGATAACAGGTGAACACTGTATTGCAGGAAGGGAGGAATATATTAAAGGAAGAGGAGGGAGAAGTGCATTTTTCAAGAAATTAATGGATTTATCCAGCTTAGTCTGTGACGTCAGTCTCACCCTCCTGCATCTTTTCCCTGCGGTTTTCCTGTAATTATTTTATTCTGTTATTTTAAATAAATTTCATACATGTTTATTCAGTCATGTCAGAGAGTCCACTGTAGCAATTTTTGAAGAGGAGGTGTGAGAGAGAAGAGGAGGATTCTAGAATGGACAATACCAATAAGTTTAATGATGACAATGATAATGAAGAATTTAAATCTTCTCAGGCATTTCCCTGCACTGGTACATCAATGGACTCAAAAAAAAGTCCATCTTTATAACAAAAGCTATTTATCAATGGATTTTACATGAACTGGTGATCCAAACTATCCTATTCTGTTGTGCCTCATCTGTGGCAAACAACTTACAGATGCAGCAATGGCTCCAGCAAAATTAAAGACGGTTAACTACAAATCACAGCCATAAGACAAGTAAAAGTTCTGATTATTTTAAACAGCTGTTGGAATCACAGAACAGAGTAAAGTTTTTGTTAATAAAATTACAGTCAGTAAAAAAGACCAAGAAGCAAGTTATTTAGTAGCAGAACTTATTACACAGCAAAGGAAAAGTCACGCTTTGGGTGAGAAAGTAATCATGCCAGCATGTAAAATAATAGTGGGAAAAATGCTAGGACTAGAATGCAGTACAAGAAATTGAAAAGGTTCCACTGTCAAACAGTACAATAAATCGCCGTATTGGTGACATGTCACATGATGCTGAAGATTTCGTGTAATAAACTGAAGAACAGCAGCTTTTCTATCCAAGTTGACGAGTCAACAGATTTCACCAATACATGTCAAGTTATGGCATTTGTAAGATTTGTAAATGATGGTGAAATTCAGGAGAACTTTTTCTGCTGCAAAGAACTAGATGAAACATGCAAAGGCCAAGATATATTTAATGTTTTGTCTTTGTATCTGGAAACAAAAAGATTGTCTTGGAGGACCTGCGTTGGCATCTGTACTGATGGTGCTCCATCAATGGTTGGCTCCATAAGAGGTTTTGTTTCTCTTATAAGAAAAGAAAATCCTGATGCTGGTGTCAAAAATTCTTGGAGGTGAAATTTAAAAAGTTCTGGACGATGCTACAACAATGGTTAACTTTATTAAACAAAGACCAGTTCATTCAAGAATGTTCAAAAAAACTGTGTGAAAACCTGGACAAAGAGCACATAAGTCTCCTGTTACACACAGAAATCCGGTGGCTCAGCAGAGGAAGAGTTCTCAACAGGGTGTTTGAGCCAAAGGCAGAGTTGCAAGAGTATTTTCGAGAAAATACTATTCCACATTTTGCTGAGTGCTTTGAAGATAGAGAATGGTTGCAGAAACTAGCATAGTTAGCGGACATCTTTCATCACAGGAACCAGCTGAACAAGTCTGCAAGGCACCAGAGAAAATGTTTTGACTTCAAGTGATAAGATTCTTGGATTTAAAGGAAAACTGAATGTTTGGGAAAACCATGTTGCAAAAAGAAATACTGAAATATTTCCACCGCTGCTTGGGCTTGAGAGTGAGGAAGGATACTCAAAGTCTCAAATCTAATTGAAAACCATCTGGAAGTACTGCAGAACAAAACTGATCAGCACTTTCTCTCCCTTTCAACCCAAACATATGACTGGGTGAGGGATCCTTTCTCTGCATCTTCTGCTCAGCCTGAGAACTTCACTTTGAAGGAAGAGGAGGAACTTTGTGAGCTGCGGTCTAATTGTACACTCAAGATGAGATTCACGGATCTGCCCATGGACAAGTTCTGGATTTCTGTGAAAGAAGTGTATCCTGCCATTCATAGGAAGGCATTGAACATTTTGCTGCAGTTTGCAACTTCTTACATGTGTGACCAAGCTTTTTCTTATTTAACAAGCATCAAAAGCAAAGACAGAAATCATCTTATTTCAGTTGAAGATGAAATCTGTCTGTGCTTAGCTCAAGTTTGGCCTAGAATTGAGTATGTGTGCAGCAAAAGATAAGTACAGGTTTCACATTAAAGAGGTAACTTTCATTCTTTATTTTTAGTTTAAGTATAAGCATTAAGTTAATGCACATATACAGGCCTACACATGAAACAAATATAATGCTTTTGTAACTTCTGGCCTATACTTGAGCCTGAATATGCAAGGGTTCCCCGAGGCCCGAAAAAATATTTCAAGGGTTCCTCCAGGGTCAAAAGGGTGAGAAAGGCTGATCTAGACCTTTCCTTGTCTAGGCCTTTCCAAGCTCTGAGAAGAGTTCAGTGGAGTACGGAAGAGGAATTATTTATTCCCTTTGACCTTTTTCCAAGATTACATTCCCACCTGCCATCTAAAATTCTCCCTGCTCAGTCAAGAGTAGAATTTGGGCTTCTGTAGCATTATAACTCATCCTTGGTCATCTCTGCCAGCCACATCTTATATTGTGGCATCTAGGTAAAACAAAATACTTTATCTAGTCAAAACTGTCATATAGGCTGTTCTCAGTCAGATAAGCCCCTTTTCTTCTTTTTCTCCAACCTTCTCTCAGCATTCCTTATTTATCTGAAACATTTTTAAACTTCGGTTGAAAACGTTTCTAGACTAGCTTGCAATCGGTAAAAGAAAGGAGTGTCTATCAGCAGCAGTCTAAAACACATGACATGAAAAGGAATGGGACTGGGAGGGAAGAAGAAATGAGCAAATTCAGCTTTCATAGACCTTTCATCTTCTTAGCCACTGGGCGCATTCAGATCTGGATTACAGTTTTTAATTTAAGGACTTTTTTTTTAATTGTATGCTTCTGCTATGTATAGTGATTTCTTAAGTCTACTGCTCCCCCCACCTCTTTTGTATGTGAGTGATACTTTAGTTCAGGACCTGAACTTTGAAAACTTACTTTAACCATCTTCTTTCAGACTTCTCCACAAACAGCAGTCCCTCAAGACACTCTTGTTATTTAATGTAAGTTTTCTCTGTACTGAAATCTTAGAGATTCACCCTTTCGAATCCTCTTGTGTTGACTCGATAGAGATATATGCAATTATGCATTCCGTGGGAAACGTTAGAACCAGAGGACGGCCTTTCACTTGGTTAGAATTTGGGGGCATCTACTGAAACTCACTGCATAGAGATTCAGGAGTGAAAACAAAAATCCTTCTGTAGGAAATGTGATGGCCACTAGTTTAGTTGCTCTTGAAAACAGGAGCATTCATGGAAGATCAGGCAATCAAAGGGAATTAGGTGTGTTAGTTGTTTACGCCTACTGGAATCACTGGCTATACACTTGAATACCATGTCCTGGAGCGCACCAGTGGAGCAGAGGCCACAGTCTGCCCCAGAAAGTTGAATTAGGTAGTCCTTTGGCCTGATCCAGCAGACCTTTTCTGATGTTCTTTGATGTGGTCAGATGACCCAGTTTTACTTGTTCATAATCATCTGCTATCATGGGATTCAAGAGGCAATTCCTCTGCATGACACTTTGTGGCTCCGCAAGGCCCACACTGCTTCTCTGTGCACAACTGTGCCTTTATCTACTTGCTTGAACAAGGCAAAGCAACAGTTTACTGGCCAAACAGAGAGAGATGTGTCAGTAAGGTTGATGGCGGGAATAGCGGTGGGATAGGTGCAAGGAGAAAAGGGGACCAACAGTCATTGCACCATACTGGGGGAGGCACGGAGGGCAGTGCCAGAGGACCTAAGTTGAGAGCAGAGATGTGCAAAGCTTTAAAACGATATTAAAAAGTCCTTTAAGATGCACCAGCAGGACTATCAAGCTTCCACTGGTTTGTAGGCTGACCTAGGTATGATGCAATGTGGCCCAACCCCATCCCTAAAGGGGTCTGTTTTTGGGGGGCAGTAATGAAATGGGTGCCTCAGAGCCTTAAGGCATCCCTTTTAATTCCCCCCATCAAAGAAAAAGAGAAAAAAGTTGAAAGTGTTGGCTCTATTCATTCTGAGAAGGTCTGGAGATACCCTTGACTCTGGCTTACATAAACTAAATGGAAACAATTTAGTGAGGGGAAAAAAATTCTAATTCTCCACCAGTTAAAAATTAATCCAAAAGGGGAGGTGATTTTTACTTTCTAAGCTTATTTATTTATTAAGCAGTTTCGTTCCAACAAGCTAAGCTAAAAAGCAGTTTTGCTCCTGTAGCTCAAGGCCTTGCATAAACCCCCCAAGTGGGGTGAATTCAGTAAACCAGGAGGTGTACTGTGTGAATGCAACTTTAAGCAGACACCTCCTTAGCGAAAGCTTCCCTCGAGAACCTACGCTTCTGGAAAAGAGCCTCCAAAGATGATTTGGGCACTCAAGAACCCTTGTGATGATTTCTCAGCGGCCCCGTTCCCAGGCCTTGGGCAGGGTGTGAGAAAGCTGGTGCAGAAGTGTGCATGAATGGGAAAGGAAGGTTGTGTCCATCTTTTGGGGTCCTTTCTGAGTGTCTGGGCTGTTGGGGTCACAGCTATGGGGGTGAAGGCCATAGACTAGTGCTTCTCAACCTTGGTAACTTTCAGATGGGTGGACTTCAATTCCCAGAATTCCCGAGAGTTCTAGCTCCTTCTCCTGTACCAGGGTTCCTCAACCTCAGCCGCTTTAAGATGGGTGGACTTCAACTCCCAGAATTCCCCAGCAAGGCTGGCTGGGGAATTCTGGGAGTTGAAGTCCACCCACCTTAAAGCGGCTGAGGTTGAGGAACCCTGCCCTGTACAGAGTAATCACTCCGATTGATTGATTGATTGATGATGTGCCATCAAGTCATCGGACTCCTAACCACCCCATGGATGGATAGATTTTCTCCATGGAGAAATGCGCTGTAGCATATTTATAATGGCGTGACTTGATCCATCAGACGCCAAGAGCAAAACAATCCCCTTTGAAAGTCTGAAAAGCGACCAAAAATTAACATAACAGCCTTTGAACAGCATAAAGCCCAACTTTTCCCGCAAAGCTCTTGGGACCTGTATCTTCCTCTTCTGAGCGTCACTCCATTTCGCAACCTCCGAAAGGAGACGCCGAAAACATCTCGGCGATTACTATGGCGATTAAAGGGGGGCGGGGGGGGGGAGTTTAGCGCGCTTGGTGGACACGAGAGTAACGGGAGGTTTTGCCTGGCGGGTTTAGACACGCGGGCGTGCCCGAACAGCCAGCGACCGCGGCCAGGAAAACGCGGGGAAGTCAGCCAGTAAACGTGGGATTACTGCATTCCTGCTAAGGCTCCGTAGTCGCCTTGCTTAGGAGCCTATTCAGCCGTTCTCACGCGTGTTCGGTGAACACTGCCAATGTTACCACTGTATGTTGCGCAGATGTGGCACACGCGCCCTTGTGACACGCATATGGCACACACGGGGCACGAGTTGGCCGCGCGGTGCTGCAACTCGGACCGGGGTTCCCAAACCGAGCGCACTTTCTCACGACCGCGTGCAAGTTCCGCCCCTGCCCCGCGGGCTACCGGGAATTGTAGTCCGACAAGCCGCCCCACGGTGGCTGGAAGAGGCTACGTGGAAGGCGCTTATCCCAAGGATTGCTGGGAGGTGTAGTCCTCTCTACGCTCTCCGGTCCGCCCTCTCCGGACATCCGGCTCTCATTGGCAGTTGCGGCTGGAGGGAGGCCGGGGGTGGCGCGGGTTCCCCCCC